GTTACGCTTGCTCACCTACCTGCTGACCGACTTGGGAGAGCCGCCTCGTTCTCCTCCAGTTCTGTACGTCGACAACAAGGCCATGATTGCCTTGTGTCAGGAGCACAGACTGGAGCACAGAACGAAGCACGTTGCTCTGCGCTACTTCCTTGCTCGAGAGTTACAGCAGCGTGGTCAGCTTCGTCTTGTTTACGTGGCCTCTCAGGCCAACACTGCTGATGTCTTCACCAAGGCACTTCAGCCTTGTGATCATCAGCGTTTCTGTACTGTTCTAGGCCTTGTGCCTACTTTGCCTCACTTGCTCACTTCTTGACTTTGCCTGTACTGTGATCTATATACTTATACCTGCAAGCTTGCACTTGCTAGGTTGTGATCACTGTACTGCTTGTTCTCCTTTATATATATAACTCTGCATGTGAACTGGCCTTGTGGCCACTTGCTTGTGCTCAGACTGCGTGGTGACTTCGTGATCCACCCTGAGCTTGCTTTGCTTTTCTTGATCGGTCTTGTGACCTCTTGTTCTCCCCCACTTTGCCTATGGGGGTGTGTAAAACTTATATGCTGCACAATGTGTAGGCTGTAGTGGGGTAGTCCATATGGGGTACAACCCAATTAGGGTTTACTACTTGTACCCATCTTGCTGATAGTTCATCCATTCTCGTTCGTAATTCTGACACGAATTGGCGCCTGCGCGATGGTAGAGAACGTGCTCGATCGTCGACGAGCACCTGCAAAGTGGGTGCGCAGTTGCGCTACTATCACCTTCGGATGCAATGCTGGCAGACCGCTCTGCTGTAGCGTTGGCAAGCTGCTTTGTCGCCCTGCTCTGTTGGTAGGTCGCCTTTCTGTAGTGCTGGTGCGGTGCCTCTACGCAACGCTGGCGGATTGTCGACTTTGCTGTGCTGGCAGTCGACCTGCCTGTCTGCTAGGTTGCAAGGCTCTGATGTAGTCATTCTTGCCATTGCTTGTTCCTTCATTCTGTAATGCAACTAGGCTCTGATGTAGTCATTCTTGCCATTGCTTGTTCCTTCATTCTGTAATGCAACTTTTCCTAGTGTAACTCTTGCCAAATTGCTCTGTGAACACACAAGTGCTAGAGAACACTAAGGAACGCTACGATCACTACTAGAACCCGTGTCTTCCCCGTAGTCCAGCTCCCGGTGTAGAGTCAATCTCCGCATACTCTGCCTCACTTGCTTACCTCTTAATTTTGCCTTGTACTGTGATATATATATATATATATATACCTGCATGCTTATCCTTGCTATGTTATAATCGCTGTACTGCTTGCACTATTATAACTCTGCATGTGAACTGGCCTTGTGGCCGCTTGCTTGTGCTCAGACAGTGCGGTGATTTTGAGATGCACTTTGGACATTGCATTGTTGCTTCTCTTGACTGTTCTTGCTATCCCCCACTTCGCCTATGGGGGTGTGTCAAACAATGTATTTATATGGCATGATAGGCTGTAGTGGGGCTACAACCGTTACCCCGAAAAAGCGTCGGGGAGTATCCCTAAAAACATGCTCAAGTCCAGGAATTCAGGGGTTTTTACCCTGATAACATAGGGCACGGTAGACATGGGGCTTTATGGGCCAAAGTTGGCTTCTGATGAACGACTGTACGTGGTTATTGAAATGATGCTAATGGGAAGATGCTACACTTTCAGCACCCTCTGGGTTTTCCGCTGCCCTGGTTACCACCATGTCACCAGCCGACAGGACTTCGCACAATCACGGCGCGACGCACGGGCACCTGCATCAAGGCGCCAGGTGCTAGCAGGTTTCAGATGCGGCTCGCAGGCAGGCACAGCCAGACATTTCGCCGTCGCTAACGGAGCACACGGGTTGGGCGCAGCTGAATCTGTTGAATCGTGTGCCTTCCACACAGTGCCCAGCGAACTGGCTGTGCTGGACGAAGTTGTTGTACAGTACCGACCCGCTAGGAGCTCCTGAAATCGCGAATGCCGCAGCGAAAGCGAGGGGAGGAACTCGCATGGCGCATCACGACCCACCTGCGCCCTCCATTCCCTAAAGAGCATCAAACGTCTGCTATCTTCATTCTATTCACAGCCACGCTCATCTATCATCACTCGATTTGACATCTCCTGGGTTCGCCTCAAACTTGACTAGCAACCCCGTATTATCGCGCGGCTCCATCCAACCATGGCCCGGATGACGTCACTCTCTCGCTCGCCGTCGCTCGACGTTAAGCGCCTCGCCGTCGTCATCGCTGGTGAGCCCACCGCGTCGCCTCGTATCGCCCTGGCAAGTCACACGACGCCCTGCCATATGTCGCCTCGTCGACCGGTCGTGTCGCTCGTCGCCCTGTCGTGTCGCCTCGTCCGACGACCTGTCGTGTCGCTCCGTCGCCCTTTCATTGTCGCTCCGTCGCCCTGTCGTGTCGCTCCGTCGCCCTGTCATGTCGACATGAGTCTTCCGCGGACGAGGTATCGCGCGCGGGCGGGAGTGCATCATCGATAACCCCACACGTGGGCCTGCCCAAATCTCCTCCGCACTTCCCTGTTTCCCCCTTCGCTACACGACTCCGCCATGTTCGCTACACTGACTCCCCCATGCTTCGCTACACTGACTCCCCCATGCTTCGCTACACTGACTCCCCCATGCTTCGCTACACTGACTTCCCCATGCTTCGCTACACTGACTCCCCCATGCTTCGCTACACTGACTCCCCCATGCTTCGCTACACTGACTTCCCCATGCTTCGCTACACTGACTCCCCCATGCTTCGCTACACTGACTCCCCCATGCTTCGCTACACTGACTCCCCCATGCTTCGCTACACTGACTCCCCCATGCTTCGCTACACTGACTCCCCCATGCTTCGCTACACTGACTCCCCCATGCTTCGCTACGTTGACTCCCCCATGCTTCGCTACACTGACTCCCCCATGCTTCGCTACACTGTTTCCTGCACACCCCTCCCCTTGGCAGCACTGCTCTCGTTCTCCCTCTGCTGCGCAGCGGGCGGCGCCGTGCGGCGAGAGCTGCTGGATGCGAGCGACGGCCTCCTGACCCAAATGGTCAGCACCACGAGCAGCAGCGGCGGCGGCAGCACGGTCAGTCCTGACGAAGCTCTCGTTATCGGAGATGTAAGCACCGTCCCCGACAGCAACAACAGCAGTATTGGCAGCAGCTCCGGCTCCGTCAGCATGGGCAGCACCGGGAACGCTGGCGGCACGGGAGGCCCCATCGTTGTGTCGGGCGGCGGATCTAGCATAAGCGGCGGTAGCACTGGGAGCAGCACAACTGGGAGCGGCACAACTGGGATCAGCACCACTGGGAGCGGCACCACTGGGATCAGCACCACTGGGAGCGGCACCACTGGGATCGGCACCACTGGGAGCGGCACCACTGGGATCAGCACCACTGAGAGCGGCACCACTGGGATCAGCACCACTGAGAGCGGCACCACTGGGATCAGCACCACTGAGAGCGGCACCACTGGGATCAGCACCACTGGGAGCGGCACCACTGGGATCAGCAGCACTGGGAGCGGCACCACTGGGATCAGCACCACTGAGAGCGGCACCACTGGGATCAGCACCACTGGGAGCGGCACCACTGGGATCAGCACCACTGAGAGCGGCACCACTGGGATCAGCACCACTGGGAGCGGCACCACTGGGATCAGCACCACTGGGAGCGGCACTGACAGCAGCAGTGGGAGCGGCACTGGGAGTACCGGAGAGTCAAACAGCGGCGGCGGAAAGATCGTCACTGTAGACCTTAATGCTCCCATCAGATGTGAGTCATGCACATGCACATGCCCATGCACATGCCATGCAGGTCCACATGCACATCCACATGCACATGCCCATGCAAATACACATGCGCACACGCATATGCGTATGCACATGCATCAATCCCAACCACCTCGGAATGTTCCCACTGCAGACCATTTGCTGTCTGCTTTCAATGTTCCTTGTGCTTTCAAAAAGTCGCTCAACTGTGTCCTCTTCTGCCCTGTGCGTGTGTCCTCTTCTGCCCTGTGCGTGTGTCCTCTTCTGCCCTGTGCGTGTGTCCTTGTCTGCCCGATGCAGACCAAGCTTCCTCAGTGCTCAGCTCACAAACCAACACGAGCGCCAAGTTTAACGTCGATGTTAACATGTGAGTGCACGTCAACGTTCCCCTTCTAATCACATGCTCGTCGCAACCTTTGCACAGATCATGCTCACCTCGCTTGAACTCGAGTCTCCATTGTGCCTCCCACACCAACATGTGGACGCAAATCCGTTCCTTTGCTCTGTCTCACTTCTGCATCATACTGCTCTGTCACACCCCTCCATATCACCCTCCTCCCCCCAACCCCCCCCCCCAGTCTCACCCCTGCAACTCACTCCACCCATTCACAGCACATCAGCGCAGCAAAGGGCGCTCTTCACCTTCACCGTGAAGGCCGTGCCAAGGACCAGAGCGCCAGTCTTCTCCAACTCCTCCTACCGCACCAACACGGGCCAGCTCGTGGCAACGTTTGCGTGCGTGCCCAAGCCCACCACCACACTTGGCACCTACCGCTGCACCGCCAGTTCTCTCGCCAACATCACCGTGCCGTTCACGCCGGTGAACAGGGTGAAGGCGCTGGTGGATGCGGGGTTCTTCTCCAACCCCACCGCCTTCTACTCCACCATCAAAGTGAATGGCATCATGCTGCGCGGCAGTATCACCTCCTCTGTTGCTAACCTGTGATCACCCGGCCCATGGCTTGTTATTGGTGCATTCCCTTAGGATGGCAATAAATTGTCAGGGTGGATCAGTTGTTGTCATCTTCTTAGATGGCTCTGTTGTATTTGTGAGTTACCCATCTGATTTCCTAGTAAAGAATTTCAGAGAGAAGCCTGCCAAAAACATTGAAGGCACGTTGTGGTGGTGCAGGGCAGTGTGATGCAAAGCAAGGGACTGGATAACACCACATAAGAAACGCCCCCCGGCTCAGAACACTTGCATGCTACAAATGAAGCCTTGATGCATAGTGTAACTTCATCCGCCGTGTGAAAGGTCACATAATCCGACCCTGGCCAATGGAGACAGCACTGCAGATGTGCCAGGGATCGCCCCAGTGGGTTCCAAGACGGATGGCAGTGAGCGTGATGAGCGCATGGTGCTCAATGGGGATGGTGACAGCTGGCGGTGCTGAGAGGGTGCACAGCGATGGCTGCCGGGAGGCCTGCAGCGAGGTGGGCGTGGAGGGCCTCTGGGACCTGTGGAGAGGGGCGGTGGGGAGGGAGAAGGGGGAGAGAAATACGAGGGGGGGAGAGAGAGGAGAGGGGGGGAGAGCGAGGAGAGGGGGGAGAGAGAGGAGAGGGGGGGAGAGCGAGGAGAGGGGGGAGAGAGAGGAGAGGAGGGGAGAGCGAGGAGAGGGGGGGAGAGAGAGGAGAGGGGGGGAGAGAGAGGAGAGGGGGGGAGAGAGAGGAGAGGGGGGGAGAGAGAGGAGAGGGGGGGAGAGAGAGGAGAGGGGGGAGAGAGAGGAGAAGGGGGGAGAGAGAGGAGAGGGGGGGAGAGAGAGGAGAAGGGGGGAGAGAGAGGAGAGGGGGGGAGAGAGAGGAGAAGGGGGGGGGAGAGAGGAGAGGGAGGAAGAGACAGGAGAGGGGCGGTGAGTAAGGAGAGGGACGGTGAGTAAGGAGAGGGGCGGTGAGTAAGGAGAGGGGCGGTGAGTAAGGAGAGGGGCGGTGAGTAAGGAGAGGGGCGGTGAGTAAGGAGAGGGGCGGTGAGTAAGGAGAGGGGTGGTGAGTAGGGCAAGGGGCGGTGAGTAGGGAGAGGGGCGGAGAGGAAGGAGGGAGAGCGGCACAGAGAAAGGAGAGTGGCGGAAAGAAAGGAGAGGGGCAGAGGGAGAGGAAGTGGAAGGGAATCACATGAGCTGGTGAGAGGGAGCTCCCAACGCGCAGCACAGGCCCTTGATTGATGAACGCTACCGGGCTCACTATGAGATGCTGCAGGGCTCACTACGAGATGCTGCAGCCGTGGCATGCTGCTGATAAGCTCCTTCACACTGCCTGACCCGCCCACCGCCACGCCTCCTCTGCCATCCCCACCTGCTCCCTTCCCATCCTCCACGCGCCCCCCATGCCCCGCAGGCACGGCCTTGAGTGCCCAAGTTGTTGCGAAGGGCGTGCCTCCTGCCGCAGTAGTACCCCGTGGCATGTGGGCCGTAACAGCTACACCAGGAGCCCGTGGCAGCAGTGTGCTTGACCGCCTGGGGACGGGGCAGTGGGATGAGGAAAAAAGGGGGGACATGAGGGCAGTGGGATGAGGAAAAAAGGGGGGACATGAGGGCAGTGGGATGAGGAAAAAAGGGGGGACATGAGGGCAGTGGGATGAGGAAAAAAGGGGGGACATGAGGGCAGTGGGATGAGGAAAAAAGGGGGGACATGAGGGCAGTGGGATGAGGAAAAAAGGGGGGACATGAGGGCAGTAGGATGAGGAAAAAAGGGGGGACATGAGGGCAGTGGGATGGGGAAAAAAGGGGGGACATGAGGGCAGTAGGATGGGGAAAAAAGGGGGGACATGAGGGCAGTGGGATGGGGAAAAAAGGGGGGACATGAGGGCAGTGGGATGGGGAAAAAAGGGGGGACATGAGGGCAGTGGGATGGGGAAAAAAGGGGGGACATGAGGGCAGTGGGATGGGGAAAAAAGGGGGGACATGAGGGCAGTGGGATGGGGAAAAAAGGGGGGACATGAGGGCAGTGGCTTCACGGAGGTGGCATCACGTTGATCAAATGACAAAAGAGTGGATTTTTTAGAAGTCTAGAAAATCACTCTTATTACGTGATTTTTTAAGACGACTCAAAAACTCACTCTTATCACGTGGCTACTAAAAAAATCACTCTTATCACGTTGATCAAATGACAAAAGCATAGCAAGTGAGCAAGACCTGTGAGAGGGTAGCAGGCAGCACGTGGCGGCGTGCATGGCGAGCGGCTGAAATGGCGAGATGGTGATTGGCACGTCCTCAGGATGAGTCTGCGAGGGAGAAGGTCGACAGAGAGAGGGGTTTGGGCAGGTAAAGTAGAAAGAGGAAGCATATGAAGGACGAAGGGGCATGGAGGGCAAGTGCAAGACGAGGAAGCAAGGTGTGCAAGACGAGGAAGCAAGGTGTGCAAGACGAGGAAGCAAGGTGTGCAAGACGAGGAAGCAAGGTGTGCAAGGAAAGTGTTGCGAATGAGTGACTGACAGCAGGCTATGGTGATGAGAGTCAGATGCATTCAACACCCAATGACACAAATCCAGCCCCAGCGATACTCCACAACAGGAGTGTACCTCGAGCAGCAGCAGAAGAGCACGGCTGTCGCCGCCCCACAGGTGAATCAGATCCACTGCCGGGCCCACACGCAGTGTGGAGTGGGCGGCAAACACAACGCACAGGCCGTGGAGAAGGCTCCTGGAAGGTTGGAATGGTCGCAAGGTGAAAACAATGAAGGGGAAGAAAGAGGGTTGGTGGGGTGGGTGGTGAGGAGAGCTCGTTGGTGGGAGTCTGAGGAGAAGGAGGAGAGGGAGGAGTGGGAGGAGAGGGAGGAGAGGGAGGAGTGGGAGGAGAGGGAGGAGTGGGAGGAGAGGGAGGAGAGGGAGGAGAGGGAGGAAGGGGAGGAGAGGGCAGAGGGGGAGGAGAGGGCAGAGGGGGAGGAGAGGGCAGAGGGGGAGGAGAGGGCAGAGGGGGAGGAGAGGGCAGAGGGGGAGGAGAGGGCAGAGGGGGAGGAGAGGGCAGAGGGGGAGGAGAGGGCAGAGGGGGAGGAGAGGGTAGAGGGGGAGGAGAGGGCAGAGGGGGAGAGGAGAGGGCAGAGGGGGAGGAGAGGGCAGAGGGGGAGAGGAGAGGGCAGAGGGGGAGGAGAGGGCAGAGGGGGAGAGGAGAGGGCAGAGGGGGAGGAGAGGGCAGAGGGGGAGGAGAGGGCAGAGGGGGAGGAGAGGGTAGAGGGGGAGGAGAGGGCAGAGGGGGAGAGGAGAGGGCAGAGGGGGAGGAGAGGGCAGAGGGGGAGAGGAGAGGGCAGAGGGGGAGGAGAGGGCAGAGGGGGAGAGGAGAGGGCAGAGGGGGAGGAGAGGGCAGAGGGGGAGGAGAGGGCAGAGGGGTAGGAGAGGGCAGAGGGGGAGGAGAGGGCAGAGGGGGAGGAGAGGGCAGAGGGGGAGGAGAGGGCAGAGGGGGAGGAGAGGGCAGAGGGGGAGGAGAGGGCAGAGGGGGAGGAGAGGGCAGAGGGGGAGGAGAGGGCAGAGGGGGAGGAGAGGGCGCTCACCACAAGTCGTGGTTCCACGGACAGCCCTGCGGCCTCCTCGGTGCTTCCCGCCTCCCACGGCCTCCCTTGTCCCACCGGTCCTCGCTGTGCAGCATGGTGGGCGCGCAGGCTGGAGGCAGGAACACCACAGCTCCTGGCAGCTCCACCATGCGCACCCCCATGCTGGCGTCACCATGTGCGTCAGGAAGGGAGGAAGCTGGTTTGGAGTTGTGGTTGGCGGAGGGGTGGGAGAGGAGCGCGCTGCTGATGGCGTGGATGGGCTGGCCTGAGAAGAGCTGTGGGTGGGAGGAGAGAGGGAGCGGGGAAGGAAGAGAGGGAAGGAGAGAAAGAAAGCATCTGTCAGGTGTTTGCCTAAAAGAGGATATGTGCTTGTTTCAAGGCACAGATGGCAGCTGTGGGAAAGGGACGTGTGAGGACACGGAAGGACTGGTGGCAGAATAAGGCGAGCTCCTATGTACAAGCACTCCCGCACATGAAGACATATATTTGTGCACACACACGCATACCAACAGACATACCAACACACATACCACACACATACCAGCACACATACCACACACATACCAACACACATACCACACACTTACCAACAGACATACCAACACACATACCACACACATACCCAAACACATGCGACACATACCAACACACATACCACACACATACCAACACACATACCAACAGACATACCAGCACACATACCACACACATACCAGCACACATACCAGCACACATACCAACACACATACCACACACATACCAACAGACATACCAACACACATACCACACACATACCCAAACACATGCGACACATACCAACACACATACCACACACATACCAACACACATACCACACACATACCAGCACACATACCAACACACATACCACACACATACCACACACATACCAACAGACATACCAACACACATACCACACACATACCAGCACACATACCAGCACACATACCAACACACATACCACACACATACCACACACATACCACACACATACCAACACACATACCACACACATACCCAAACACATGCGACACATACCAACACACATACCACACACATACCAACACACATACCAACAGACATACCAACACACATACCACACACATACCAGCACACATACCAGCACACATACCAACACACATACCACACACATACCACACACATACCAACACACATACCACACACATACCCAAACACATGCGACACATAACAACACACAAACATGCATCTACACACACCCTCACACACACACAAACTCACTTCCAGACCCATCCTCACACACACAAACACACCCACTCTATCGTGCACGCGGGGGTGCATCCACTCAGGCAGGATGCAGGCGAGGGAGAGCGCCTGCTGGGCCACCGGTGACAGGTACACCACCGGCACGCCCACGCCCACACGGGGTGCTGGCACTGCTGGCGCTGCTGCTGTTGCCCATGGACCTGGTGTCGCAGCTGCTGCTGATTGTGCTGCTGGCGGTGCTGCGGGCGATGATGGGGAGGGCGAGAGCAGGGCGAGCAGCACGTCCAAGGAGGGGCCCAGCGGGGAGCACGGCACCACCACTCGCCCTCCCTGCGCCACCCGCCCTGCAATCACCCGCACAACGCCTTCAATGCCCTCGATACCGTCACATACCGCACTGCAACCCACACCATCCACAGCACTCTTTCCGCTCGTCGCCTCACGGAGCGGCTCACTCTCCGTCCCGCCACCTCTGCCTTTCCATCCGCCCTGCATTCCCACCTCGTCGCCCATCCCTCCCCCACTCAACACGCTGCTCTCATGCCCCTTTCCCTGCTCCGCACCCCCAACCCTTGGCTTACTCCCCTCCTTGCCGTCTGCTGTCCGTGTGTGGCTGTCAGCAGAGCTGATTGACGTGGGCCCGCACAGAGCTGCCACGTGGCAATCTCTTATTGGCTCCAGCTGTTGTGGAGCGGCAAGAGTGGTGCAAGGCAGCGGTGGGAAGAGGAGGGCGAGGTGGCAGCAGTTGAGGGGGGGAGAGGCGGAAGGTCCGGAGTGAGAGGCGAAGGGAGAGGCAGAAGGGTCAGACGAAGGGTGCGAGATGGATGAGAGCGGTTCTTGAGAGGAGGGATATGAGACAGAGAGAGTGGTGTGCGGGTGGGAGGTGTGCGTGGTGTCGGAAGGCGAGTGGGCGGAGTGAAGGAGAGACCAGGAGGCCGAGCCAAGAGGACCACCCGAGGCAGCTGCAGTGGCTGTGACGCCCGGCCCCACACCCACCCTCTCCCCCCACCTCACCCCCCTCACTCCCGTTAGCCATGCTAGTTCCTCACTCTCGCTGCTGGATAAGAGGGAGATGACGGAGGGTGGGTGGGAATGGGGGAGGCGGGGACGAGCGGAGGTAGGGAGGGAGGGAGAGGAGGGGGGACGATGGGGGGGAAGGAGAGAGGTGGAGAGAAGGGCATGGAGTTTCAGGGTGAGGTCTTGTAGTGGAAGCAACAGGGTGGTGATGGCAGGGAGGCGAGCAACGTACACCACCTCCTGTGTGGCACTTGCGTCAGTGGCGGGGGAAAGCAAGCGTGTGCAGTGCACACATGGGCACATGTGCAGTTGGGAGAGATGGGCAGTGCGTGTGCCTTGTCTGATGCTGTGGCTGTGGCGACACAGGGGAGGGCGGATGGGAAGGGAAAGAGATGGGCCAGGGTGAGAGTGCATGAGCAGGGTGCATGAAGAGAAACAGAGGCAGGCAGGCAGGCGGAGAGGTATGGCAAGCCACGCACGCATGCCCGGTGTGGCGAGCATGGGAGCACGGCATGAGGCATGGCATGACAGCAGCAGCAGCGAGACAGCAGGGCGCACCTCAGGGATGCACGTGCGTCGTCTGCACCCTCCTCTAGCACGCCCCTTGCCTGCACCAGTGCCGTCCTCTCTTTGGCCGCCAGCCTGGCAATGCGCAGAGCAGCCTCCGTGCACACCACCTGGGGGGCACACAGGGCCAACGGGCGAGCGGCGAAGGGGGCAATGGAGCAGTGTTTGAAAAGAACTGTCGACGCTGCCAAGCCAAGCACGTGGGCCTCAAATGGCACGAGATTTGGAAGAGTTTCAACCGCAGAAAGCTTACAGACCCCACGTTCAGTGGAAAACTAAGATCAACATACAGGTATTAGGGGTAATAGCTCGAACGAAGGTAAAATTTGGGCAGAGTAGAAGACAAGCAGTCGATTAATATTGAAAGGGCGCTGGGGGACAGGCAGACAAGATAGGCAGAGGGGAGGGCGCTTTTTTTCGGCAACCAACAAGCACATTTTTGGGGGGGGTGGGTGGCTGTAGCACACCTTGGGGGGAGGGCGGTGGGCGTGGTGCTGGCGGTGATGGCGCAGCAGCACAGGCAGACCCAGAAGGCCCTCGGGGCTCGAGATCAGGATGGCGTCCACATCAGATGCTGCTGACGTGGCAGTGAGCGCGAATGGCAGGGAGAGAGAGCGATGGGGGGTTGGCACGGAGGAGGGCAGGGGGAAGGAGAGGCGCACACCGGGGCACGGCGAGGAGGACGCTGGGGTGTGGGCGTGGGCATGGTTGTGGGTATGGGCGTGGGGATGGACATGGCTGTCGTTGCGGTCAAAGGCATGGCCATGTGTCGGGGTGAACGCTGCACCATGCTTCCCCTCGTCCCCGTCCCCTTTCCGCCTCTTCCCACCGCTCTCCACATCATTGCCATCACCACCCCTCTTCCTGCCCTTGCCCCTTGCATCCACCCCATTGCTGTCCCCATTGCCGCCCTCATTGCCGCCCTCATTGCCGCCCTCATTGCCGCCCTCATTGCCGCCCTCATTGCCGCCCTCATTGCCGCCGTCATGCCCGCCTGCACTGCTGCTTGACCCTCTCATCGCTCCACCACACACCGACTCTGCTCTGCCTCCCTTCACCTCCGCCTCAACACCGCTACGATTCTCTCTCCGCTTTCCCTCCTCCCCCTCCGCCCCCTCGCCTCGTCCCTCCTCGTCCCCCTTCTGCCCGCCTCCGCCCGTCTGCCGGTCAGCCAAGCACATGCACACCCTCCGTCTCCACCGAACCTCGCGCCTGTGCGTTAAGCCTGACCTCGAGGCTCGGCAGCCATGCCGATGCAGCAACGTCAGGGCTGGGGGGAGGAAAGCGCCCCAGCCGGCTGATCCGAGATGGTCGCGAGGTGAGACAGTTGGGTGTATGGCTCGGTCCGAACCTGCAGGATCGGGCTGGTCCGGCGCAAGCGCTGCATGGGTGTCCGTCTTTGCGCCATGGAAAGCTTCGTCTGCGGCGGCAGCAGCAGCAGGTGCGGGGAAAGGAGCGAGGGAATCAGCATGCGGTAGTGGCGAGCAGCGGGTGGCGCGAGGTGCGTCGAGGCGAGCGGCGTCGGTAGGCGCGCGTGGCGAATGCTGCGAGGCGCGCGGAGAGCAGCGAATATTGGCGCTTTTGTTGACGGGGCGAGGCTCCGTGGAATTCCCTCGATCAGTCGAACGGTCGAGCTTCCTAGGCGAGTCTCGCGAAATTGGTAACCACGCGGGTGGGATGGGGGGATGGAGCAAGCAGGGCAAGGGGTCTAGTGGGCAGTCGAGGAGAACGCGCGAGCCGTGGAACTCCACAAGCGCGCTGAACGGCGCTGCCATGGCGGCCGAGCGAGGATTGCATTGGATCAAAACCGCTGCCTCATGTCGTACAGGTTGCTGGGACGCTGTTCAAAAATCTTCTTCAGCCTCATTTCTTTTACCGGTAGCACATACAGTATGAAAGCGATTCAAGCAAACTATACATTTAGGACACATGCACCTTCTGGATCTTGTATGGATGCAGGCATGCCCACACCACATGCATGTATACATGTATGCGTGCCTTGAAAGCAACGGGCTGAGCCAAACTAGGGCCCAAATGCTGTATTCTACGCCCTCCAGAGCTAGGTGTGGTATGGTTGGGCAAGTGCTATCTATCAACCCCACCAGCGCCCCAAGCTGCATGCGTATGCGTGCCACGGCCCAGGTCAAAGGAAGTCAAAGCAAGTCAACGGGGTGACAGGTTATTTGGCGCCCTCCACAAGCTTGGTGCGCGCGTGCGTGAACGCCCCCACCAGCGCCCCCAGCTGCACCTTCTCACTCGTGGCAAAGGTCAGACGGTACCTGGTTGCATGGAGGGAGGGAGGGTGGGAGAGAAGGAGCACGGGAGGCTGAGGTAATGCATGGCATTGCCCCCAGCTACCCCTTCTTATCATGGCGAATGTCAGGGAGGTACCCGGTTGGCGGAGGGAGAGAAGGGGAGCAAAGGTGGGGCCGTAGAGGCAGAAAAGAAAGCAATGAACCATGCGAGGTGGCTGTGGGGATACTTGGTTTGCAGGACAGCTGGAATGGGCAAGAATAACATTAAAATGATGGAGCAGAACACCCAGAGCACATTGGGTTGATGGAGGAGAGAGAGCAGCACGGTGGAAGGAGGGCAGAGAAGGGTGGAAGGAGGGCAGAGCAGGGTGGAAGGAGGGCAGAGCAGGGTGGAAGGAGGGTAGAGCAGGGTGGAAGGAGGGCAGAGCAGGGTGGAAGGAGGGCAGAGCAGGGTGGAAGGAGGGCAGAGCAGGGTGGAAGGAGGGCAGAGCAGGGTGGAAGGAGGGCAGAGCAGGGTGGAAGGTTCGATCGGAAAGAATGGACTCGATGTCATGCCAGCACAATGTATCAGACCACCCAGAGCACACTGGGTTGGTGGAGGAGAGAGGGAACGTACTCAATGTCAGCCATGGCGTCAAAGAGGTCGATGCGCACTGCTGCTGGCATGTCCACTGTCAGGATGAAGCTGTGTTGCACAGGGGCAGGGGGAATAGGAAATGGGGGAGACGGGGCAGGTAGGCAAGGAGCAGTGTGGGGATGGGATGTGAGGTCGATTCGCACTGCTGCTGGCATGTCCACTGTCAGGATGAAGCTGAGGTGAACGGGGGGGGGGGGGGGGGGTGCGTTACGAAATGGAGAAGATGTGGCACACAGGAGAGGAGCAGTGTGTTGATGGGATGTGAGCATGGGATGTGAGGATGGGATGTGAGGATGGGATGTGAGGATGGGATGTGAGGATGGGATGTGAGGATGGGATGTGAGGATGGGATGTGAGGATGGGATGTGAGGATGGGATGTGAGGATGGGATGTGAGGATGGGATGTGAGGATGGGATGTGAGGATGGGATGTGAGGATGGGATGTGAGGATGGGATGTGAGGATGGGATGTGAGGATGGGATGTGAGGATGGGATGTGAGGATGGGATGTGAGGATGGGATGGATGTGAGGATGGGATGTGAGGATGGGATGTGAGGATGGGATGTGAGGATGGGATGTGAGGATGGGATGTGAGGATGGGATGTGAGGATGGGATGTGAGGATGGGATGTGAGGATGGGATGTGAGGATGGGATGTGAGGATGGGATGTGAGGATGGGATGTGAGGATGGGATGTGAGGATGGGATGTGAGGATGGGATGTGAGGATGGGATGTGAGGATGGGATGTGAGGATGGGATGTGAGGATGGGATGTGAGGATGGGATGTGAGGATGGGATGTGAGGATGGGATGTGAGGATGGGATGTGAGGATGGGATGTGAGGATGGGATGTGAGGATGGGATGTGAGGATGGGATGTGAGGATGGGATGTGAGGATGGGATGTGAGGATGGGATGTGAGGATGGGATGTGAGGATGGGATGTGAGGATGGGATGTGAGGATTGAGGATGGGATGTGAGGATGGGATGTGAGGATGGGATGTGAGGATGGGATGTGAGGATGGGATGTGAGGATGGGATGTGAGGATGGGATGTGAGGATGGGATGTGAGGATGGGATGTGAGGATGGGATGTGAGGATGGGATGTGAGGATGGGATGTGAGGATGGGATGTGAGGATGGGATGTGAGGATGGGATGTGAGGATGGGATGTGAGGATGGGATGTGAGGATGGGATGTGAGGATGGGATGTGAGGATGGGATGTGAGGATGGGATGTGAGGATGGGATTTGAGGATGGGATGTGAGGATGGGATGTGAGGATGGGATGTGAGGATGGGATGTGAGGATGGGATGTGAGGATGGGATGTGAGGATGGGATGTGAGGATGGGATGTGAGGATGGGATGTGAGGATGGGATGTGAGGATGGGATGTGAGGATGGGATGTGAGGATGGGATGTGAGGATGGGATTTGAGGATGGGATGTGAGGATGGGATGTGAGGATGGGATGTGAGGATGGGATGTGAGGATGGGATGTGAGGATGGGATGTGAGGATGGGATGTGAGGATGGGATGTGAGGATGGGATGTGAGGATGGGATGTGAGGATGGGATGTGAGGATGGGATGTGAGGATGGGATGTGAGGATGGGATGTGAGGATGGGATGTGAGGATGGGATGTGAGGATGGGATGTGAGGATGGGATTGTGAGGATGGGATGTGAGGATGGGATGTGAGGATGGGATGTGAGGATGGGATGTGAGGATGGGATGTGAGGATGGGATGTGAGGATGGGATGTGAGGATGGGATGTGAGGATGGGATGTGAGGATGGGATGTGAGGATGGGATGTGAGGATGGATGTGAGGATGGGATGTGAGGATGGGATGTGAGGATGGGATGTGAGGATGGGATGTGAGGATGGGATGTGAGGATGGGATGTGAGGATGGGATGTGAGGATGGGATGTGAGGATGGGATGTGAGGATGGGATGTGAGGATGGGATGTGAGGATGGGATGTAGGATGGGATGTGAGGATGGGATGTGAGGATGGGATGTGAGGATGGGATGTGAGGATGGGATGTGAGGATGGGATGTGAGGATGGGATGTGAGGATGGGATGTGAGGATGGGATGTGAGGATGGGATGTGAGGATGGGATGTGAGGATGGGATGTGAGGATGGGATGTGAGGATGGGATGTGAGGATGGGATGTGAGATGGGATGTGAGGATGGATGTGAGGATGGGATGTGAGGATGGGATGTGAGGATGGGATGTGAGGATGGATTTGAGGATGGGATGTGAGGATGGGATGTGAGGATGGGATGTGAGGATGGGATGTGAGGATGGGATGTGAGGATGGGATGTGAGGATGGGATGTGAGATGGGATGTGAGGATGGGATTTGAGGATGGGATGTGAGGATGGGATGTGAGGATGGGATGGGATGTGAGGATGGGATTTGAGGATGGGATGTGAGGATGGGATGTGAGGATGGGATGTGAGGATGGGATGTGAGGATGGGATGTGAGGATGGGATGTGAGGATGGGATGTGAGGATGGGATGTGAGGATGGGATGTGAGGATGGGATGTGAAGATGGGATGTGAGGATGGGATGTGAGGATGGGATGTGAGGATGGGATGTGAGGATGGGATGTGAGGATGGGATGTGAGGATGCTGCCACATGCGCTGGCATGCAGTGGCAAGACGGGTGATGTGAGCATGCGGCTAAGGACAGCTGGCATGGTGATGGTGGGGGTGTGAGGATGGGATGTGAGGATGGGATGTGAGGATGTGGGGGTACGGGGGAGAGGGGACAGGGAGAAGGGAAGCGGGGGCATGCGGTTGCCGTTGCTGTCATGGTGGCTGGGGCATGACATGTGCGTGAACAAGGGGGGAGGATGTGGGAACAGGGAGGGGGGGGGGGGAAAGGGAGAGCAAGAAGGGAAAGGAGGCCGTGTTGGCGTATCCCGCCTCCCCTCTCATGTTGTGGGAGGGGACATTTGGGTGGACTGGGTCACTGGGGTGGGTGGGGGTATCGGGGAGACAGAAAAGATGGAGGAGTGGAATGGGGGCATGGAGGAGTGGAATGGGGGCATGGAGGAGTGGAATGGGGGCATGGAGGAGTGGAATGGGGGCATGGAGGAGTGGAATGGGGGCATGGAGGAGTGGAATGGGGGCATGGAGGAGTGGAATGGGGGCATGGAGGAGTGGAATGGGGGCATGGAGGAGTGGAATGGGGGCATGGAGGAGTGGAATGGGGGCATGGAGGAGTGGAATGGGGGCATGGAGGAGTGGAATGGGGGCATGGAGGAGTGGAATGGGGGCATGGAGGAGTGGAATGGGGGCATGGAGGAGTGGAATGGGGCATGGAGGAGTGGAATGGGGGCATGGAGGAGTGGAATGGGGGCATGGAGGAGTGGAATGGGGGCATGGAGGAGTGGAATGGGGGCATGGAGGAGTGGAATGGGGGCATGGAGGAGTGGAATGGGGGCATGGAGGAGTGGAATGGGGGCATGGAGGAGTGGAATGGGGGCATGGAGGAGTGGAATGGGGGCATGGAGTTGCCTGAGCTGCCATGCACCGCCCTGCCTCCTCTGTGATGGCGACGGGGTGGAAGGGCAGGAGGGGATGGCGACGGGTTGGGGAGAGAGGAGGCACATGGGCAAGGGATGGAGGCATGGGGTTGGGCTCTCTCAAGCACACCGCCTCCTCTGTATCTGCATGGTGGCGCCGCATGCACGCCGTGATGCTGAACTGCTGGCACCCATGCCACGTGGGTGGGTGGAGTTGAAGTTGACTGGGGTGGGTGGGATGGGAACAGAGGGAGAGCAGAGGGAGAGCAGAGGGAGAGCAGAGAGAGCATGTGTGCATGGGGTGATACCTAGGGGAGCCATACCAACAGAAAGTTGAGCAGAGGCGAGGAGGTGATTCGTGGGGGAGGTCCCAATTGTACCGTGTTGTCGTTCATTGGGGGGAGGTGATACCTGGGGGAGGTCGTACTGGGGGAGGTCGTACCTGCAAAATGTTGAGGGCGCGGCGCATGTCACCCGCACTGAGGCTTACAACGGCTGACAGTGCGCCATCTGTCACATCCAGACTGGCTGGGCGGCAAGTGAGGGGAGAGACAGAGAGATTGGTGAATTGGCAGTGTAGGTATGGAGCCCAAGCACGACTCATTCTCCAAGTCCGATACAGTCTAGTATACCTCACTGCCTCACCCCTCCCAGCTAACCACCCGGACCCGGCCCTCCCACTCAACCACTCGCTCCTTCCAATCGAATCAGGCCACATCCCCATCCCCACTCCCGGTCAGCCACATGACTCCCCCCCCCCCTCCCCCATTCACCATCGTTTCTTTTTAGGTGCCTCAGAATGTACAAATGCTTTTCCACCTAGTCATCAGTCGCCCCCTCTCTCCCCTTCCGCCCCACCTACTCACCCCTCTTCCTGGATGACGTGTCTGAGCCTGGCAGTGACGTCAGCAGAGGAGAGCGGGGCGAAGCGGAAGCGCGTGCATCGCGATTGGAGGGCCGGGATGATCTTGCTGACGTGGTTGCAGATGAGACAAAAGCGCGTGCTGCGCGTGTACTTCTCTATCACTGGGGGGGGAGGGGGAAGGGGCGAGAGGGGTGGGGGTAGGGGGAGGCGAGAAAGAGGGAGGGGAAGGTGAGGAAAAGGGAGTGAGTGGAGGGGTGGGTGAGGAAAACTGAGGGGAGAAGGGAGAGGTGTTTGGGGAGGAAAGGTTCCAAATAGAAAGGGAAAGAAAAGGTGTGGTGGGAAAGGCAGTGACTAGGAGAGAACGGAGAATACCACATGCACTTCTGCACACTCCAATTCTCGCTCTCCCACTCTCCCACTCACTCTCGCACTCTCTCGCTTTCCCACCCTCGCATGCCCTCACTACTCTCCCAATCTCCCACTGTCCCGCTCTCGCATTCTCGCACTGAGTGCAGCAGAGCAGAGCAGAGCAGAGCAGAGCAGGGGCACGCACCGCGGCGCAGGGAGAACTGAGCGTCCTTGGTCATGGCGTCCGCCTCGTCCAGCACCACCAGCTTCACCGCCGCCTTGGCACTGCCAGGGGGGGGGAGGGGGAGGGGGGGTGATGGGAAGGGCGTTGACTGGGATAAGAGCTGCTGTGGCCACGTGCACTGATTGCAGTGTGGCAGTGGCCCCGTGTGACTCCTTGGTCATGGCGTCCGCCTCGCCCAACACCACCAGCTTCACCGCCGCCTTGGCACTGCCAGGGGGAGCGGGAGGGGACTGAAGGTATGGGAGGCCGGGCGAAGGGAAAAAGAGGGGAAGAGGTATGGGAAGGGTGGACGAGGAGATAATTTTATTGTCTCCTTGTTCGTTCCGCGCCACCAGCTTCACCGCCACCTTGGCGCTCAGGGAAAGCAGCGTGGTGGGAAGGGGAGGGGAGGGGGAATATCATCATTAGACTACCTTCCAAGTTTCCTTGTGTGGAGGAAGGGCATGAGAAGTGAAGGAAAGAAGGAGAGACGAAGAGAAACAGTGGATGGATGGATGCGATGCGAAACGGATTGACTTTCTTGACTCGCGTTGACTTGACTTGACGCACCCGAAGCTGATGGACTGAGTGGAGGCGAAGTCCTGCACCTGCTGCCGCACCACGTCGATGCCCCTCTCGTCACTGGCGTTCAGCTCCAGACACATGTTCCGCACGCCCCCCGCCCCGTACAGCTGCCGAGCCACCGCCAGCACCGTTGAGGTTTTGCCCGTGCCAGGTGGGCCGTACAGCAGGAGGTGGGGCAGGCGGTTGGACGCTGTTAGGCGGCTGACTGTGCCAGGGGCGAGGGAACGGTTAGACAAGGAGCAGTAGAAGAGGGGGAGGGAGGAGCGAGAAAGGGAGAGAGAAAAGGAGGGTTGGGATGGGGTGAGACTGGCGCCGCCGCCAGCACGGTGGGGTGGAGGTGTTGCTGATGTCCAGCAGATGGGGCACGCGATTGGAGGAGGTGAGGCGGCTGACTAATTATGGGGGAGGGATGGGGAGAGCGGGCGCGGACAAGGGAGTGATGGTGTCCCCAACGGGCACATGATGAGGCATGGCGACACGAATCATGCCGCCACGAATCATGGCGCCACGAATCATGGCGCCACGAATCATGCCGCCACGAATCATGCCGCCAGTACCTTCCCCACCCCCTTACTAACTTGTATCGACGATGTCTTTATGCGCTGCCACGTCAGCAAGCGACTTGGGTCGGTACTTCTCCACCCACGGCATCGCAGAGGCGGCCGCGGCGCCGCGCGACCCGTCCGCCGCGTCTTCCGCCTTCCCCTTCCCCTTCCCCCCGTCGTCCAGCTTCCCCTTCCCCTTATCCCGCGCCTTCCGCAAGCCTGCTTCCGCGGGGTCCACGTCCATCGGGTCCGCCATTGCGCGCAATGGGAGTGTGGGGTGGCGGAGTGGCGACGGGAAGAGAGAGGGGGTGGCGGGAGTTCGCGCGGGAAGAGAGAGGGGGTGGCGGGAGTGCGCGCGGAGTATTAAGCACACCTCCTAATAGGTCGGAAAGGAATTATTGGTTCGGCTAGCGAGGCTCACGGCGGGAACCGCTATCTTTCGTGTCCCTGGCCAAAAAAAAGCGACAGCAATTCTCTAGGTTCGGACAAGCCCCTAGAACGGCAGCAGGTTTTGAATTTGAACTTGTTCCTACAGACAGACATTCTCGCGAATCGCGACAATTATTTCAAACCGTTACCATGTCGTGCAAAGCCTTCGCAAGGGTACCGTTTAATTCCGTGGTGATACGGTATCACTTCTGAGGCTCTAAATTCTAGGATAAAACAAATACCAAGTAAAATTCTCTAGTCTAACACTTGAGGATCCCCTATTATGCTCTACACAGCAGCCCAGCACTCATACAGAACTGAGGAAAAATACCGGTGGTACCCTCTTAGGGTGTTTCTCTTCACCTGTATATTATGGCCAGCCACAGACGCGGCGGTGATTCAAATTGCATTGCATTGTGAGGAAAACAAAAAGAACATACACTGGTGTTACCGTGAACGCAATGCAAAATCGCACGGGGGGGGGCAACCAACCGAGCCGTGCACAGCACATTATCGTCGAAAGATCCAGCTACCCTGCCGTTGCCATGTAAAGGAATCTCTTGACACACCTTCACTAACCGCTTCTGAGTGACTCACACTCGTCGAATCCCCATTTTCTTGCTGCCCCTTGTGTGAATCCTCTCCCCCCCTCGCACTCTCTCTTCCACCACCACCACCACCCATGGCCCACCCACTGTGCTGCTGGCCGGACCCCACATTCCCCAGGGGAGCAGCAGTGGAGAGCGAGGCAAAGGCCTTCACTATGGAGCTGAGCCCTCTGGCCCGGCGAGGCGCCTGCGGCACTGCAGGCTCCGCAGCAGCAGCAGTGCCAGCAGGCATGGTGGTTACATTGGGTGCACTGGCGGAGGTGGTGAGGTGTGTGCGTGGTGCTGTGCTTGTGGAGCCCTCATCGTGTGCTTGTGTGTGCGCACTTGCTCCTGATCGCCCCATCCCCGTTCCCATGCTGTGCTGCGGCGAGTCTGACGGCGATGGGGCGAGTGCGGGTGAGGAGGCGGAGGGGGAGGCGGGGCGCATGAGGGCCGCCATGCCCTGCAGAGGCCGCGCCAGGCGCCCCAACCCAAACGACGGCTCCGACGCAGCAGCCGCCGCCGCACGGGGAGCGCTGCTGGAGGGGAGCAGTCCGCCGCTGCTGCTGCTGGCGGCGGCAGAGAAGGAGTGGTGGTGGTGGGGCGACTTGAGGGGCTCGCGCGGGCTGTAGAGAAAGCTGGGCGGCGCTGTGGACATGGAAGAGTCGGAGTCGGGGCGGTGTGCAGCGCGGGAGAGGGAGGAGGAGGACTTCCTGGCGGCCATGGGGTTGAGCGGTCGCAGGAAGGAGAAGAGCGATGACACTGCTATGGACCCGTCAGGCCCGGATAGGCGCGCCTGGATCTCAGGTACGGATGGGAGCTCTTGGGTTGGGTCGAGAGGGGGTTTGGGTGGGATGACAGGGATGGTGACAGACACAACAGGCGCAGTGGAAACAGCAGCAGCAGTATCCGTGGGGGCAGCAGCAGCAGCGTCAGTAGCAGCGGCGGGGGATGCAGCGGCAGTGGAAGGGGGGTTGCGGCGCACGAGGGGGACGGTGATGGAGGCCATGGGCGCAGAGGAAGAGGGGGCAGCAGGGGGGGTGACCTGGGCGTTGGGCTGAGACACGCCCAGAGGGGAATGGGATGGGGACGGGGAGGAGAGGGGAGGCGGCGGAGGGGCAGGGAGCGGGGTGGTGGAGACAACGACGTGGGAGCGGCGGGCCTTGCGCTTGGGGGAGAAGAACCGGAAGTGCGACGACCGCCGCGCCTTCTGCTCTGCTGCTTCCACGGGTGCTTTCGCGGTGCCTTCCTTGTGTGCATCCTTGCTGCCTGCTGCCGCAGAAGCTCGCTGCTGCTTGTGAGCATGCGAGTGGCGCTGCACCTGCTGCCTCTGCTGCTCCTTGTGCTTCGCCTTGCTGCCCTCCCTGTCCCACATGCTCCCACCCGAGCCTGCGTGGCTGTTGCTGCCGCTGGTGGGGCGTGCAGTGAAGAGGAACACACCGCTGCCACCGCCACTGCTGCCAGCACGATTGGCAGCGGAGGTGGGCGAGGAGAAGAGGGGCGAGGCGGGGCCAGTGAAGGACGCGAAGAGAGGCAGCTGGATCGGCGGCGCCTTGGGCTGCTTCTGCCGCCCGCCCTGCTGTACCGCGCTCGCACCCTGTTGTGAATCCACATCCATGCTGCCATGCGCCGCCACCCCGGCCCCTTGCTCTTGCCTCCCACCCTCTTCTCCTTGCTGTTCCTGCTTGCCCTCCTGCCTGCCCCTCTCCTCTCCTCGCACTGCCGCTGCTTCACTGCCTGCAGCGCCGTCCCACGAGGTGCGCTGCGGCTCCACACCGCCCATCTCCGTGTCTCTGCTCCCTCCTGCTGCTGCTGCAGCACCTGCCGCACCGCCCCTCCCACTGCCTACCCCCTCCGAGTCCCTCGGCACAGCTGCACCCCCACCCGCCTCTGCTGCTGCTTTCACGCGCTCCCCCTCTCTCTTCCCCTCCCTGCCGCCCTCCACACCGCTCTCGCCCGTCCATCCTGGCGCCCCCACCGGAACACACGGGGACGGGGCGGGGCGGGGCGAGGGAACGGGTTCCCGGCCGCAGTGTTGGGCGAGCCAGGGGTGGTGCAGCGCGACAGCGGCGGAGGGGCGGTGGGCGGGGTCGGAGGAGAGCAGCCAGCGCACGAGGTCGATGGCAGCGGGCGCCACGGAGGGCCAGGGCGCGATGGAGAAGTCGGGCTGGTTGCGCAGAATGCGGAAGAACAGCTGCTCGTCCGTACTGCCCCAAAACGGCATGTAGCCTGCGAGGGACGGGCACGGGGGTGGGGGCGTTGAGGGGGTTGGTGTGGGGGGGGAGAGAGGGGGGAAAGTTTGAAACGGGCGTTGGTGTGGAGTGGAGACATGGGAGCGGAAGAGCAGCAAAGAGAGAGTTGAGAAGAACGCAGGTCGGTGTCGGGTCTGGTGCAGGAGGAGGGCGGAGAGGTGGAGAGGGGGGCACCTGAGAGGGCGGTGTAGAGGATGACGCCCAGCCCCCAGAGGTCGACAGCGGGCCCATAGGGGCGGCGGCACACGACCTCCGGAGACATGTACACAGCGCTGCCGTACATGCCCACTGCTTGCTGCCCCGCTCGCAGCATCACTGCCAGGCCGAAGTCCGCGAGCTTGAGGTGCAGCTTGCCCGCTGCCTCGTCCTTGGCAGCGAGGAGAATGTTCTCGGGCTTGATGTCCCGGTGCACCACTCCTGACGCGTGGCAGTGGTGTAGGGCTAGTAGGATCTGCCTGTAGGGGGGCGGAGGGGCGGAGAAGGGGGGGATGGGGGGGGGAACGGGAAGAGGTGGGGAGCGCGGGAGAGGTTTGGTGTCCCGATGCACCACGCCTGACGCGTGGCAGTGGTGCAGGGCCAGCAAGATCTGCCTGCAGGGGGGCCAATGGGGCGCGGGGTGGGGGAAAGGGAGGAATGAGGTGGGGGAAGGGAAGAGGGGGGGGAACAGGCGAAGGAGAGAGTGATGGGAGCAGGGCGAGAGGGTGGGGCGGGGGGCAGGGTGGTGAGCGTGGGAGCAGCTTCATGGCGCAGTGTAGCGCGCCGGATGCGAGGCAGGGGGGCAGGGCGAGCAGGGTCTGGCAGGAATGGCGGGCTGTGGAGGTGGGGGCAAGGGAGTCAGCTCAGCACAGCAGCTCTTATCTCCATGCGGCCGCTGGCACGGGCTCCTGCAGTGCGCTGCTTGCAGTGCAAGGAGCAGAACAACCGCACGCGGGCAGACTCTGTGAATGACCCGGTGACGTCAGCGCTGAGCTCACCTGGTGACGTCAGCGGCGAGCGGCTCGGGCAGGGTGGTGCGCGCGATGAGGTAGTCGTAGAGGTCGCCGTGCGCGCAGAGGTCCATGACCAGGTGCACGCTCTCCGCGTCCTCGAACAGCGCGCGCAGCGCCACCACGTGCGCGTGCCCCCCCACGCGCCGCATCGCCGCCACCTCCCCCTGCAGCTCCTCGCGCGCCTCCTTGCGCTGCGCGCGCGGACGACGGTGAGAGAGCATGGCGGGCGCGGGAAGGGGGGGAGTTGCGCGCCGCATGGGTAAACGCGGGGAGGAGAAGAGAAGCGGGGCGTAGGGGGGGATATGGGGAAGGAGCCCATTTTAAGAACGATGCGTGGGTTAGGGGAAAAAATAGTGGGAACGCGAGGAATGGCGGTTGCGACGCGGATGGCGAGAGGCGCGGCGCATTGGACAAAGTCTATCCTGCATCCACGCCGTTCCCCTCAGCGCGACATTCCCTCACACCACGCCGTTCCCCTCAGCGCGACATTCCCTCACACCACGCCGTTCCCCTCAGCGCGACATTCCCTCACACCACGCCGTTCCCCTCAGCGCGACATTCCCTCACACCACGCCGTTCCCCTCAGCGCGACATTCCCTCACACCACGCCGTTCCCCTCAGCGCGACATTCCCTCACACCACGCCGTTCCCCTCAGCGCGACATTCCCTCACACCACGCCGTTCCCCTCAGCGCGACATTCCCTCACACCACGCCGTTCCCCTCAGCGCGACATTCCCTCACACCACGCCGTTCCCCTCAGCGCGACATTCCCTCACACCACGCCGTTCCCCTCAGCGCGACATTCCCTCACACCACGCCGTTCCCCTCAGCGCGACATTCCCTCACACCACGCCGTTCCCCTCAGCGCGACATTCCCTCACACCACGCCGTTCCCCTCAGCGCGCCATTCCCTCACACCACGCCGTTCCCCACAACGCGCAATTCCCCCACGCCACGCCTTCCCCCTTTCGCACGCCTCTCGCTCGCAGCACGCCGTTGTTGCCCCTTCAACGACCATCAACGTCTGCACGCTCGTCCGCCGTGAGTGTGTCTCCGCAGCCACGCGCACTCTCCACTCTGCCCTCCGCACTCTCCCCTTCCCTCTCCCCCCACCCCACCCCACCCTCCCCCGCTCTTCCGCGCGCACCTGCAGCTTGCATTTGGGAATGCTCTTGCACGCCGCCACCGCCTCGCCCGTCGCCACGTCGCCGCAAATCCGTACCACGCCGCCACCGCCCTTGCCCAGCTCCCGCCCCAGCTGGTACCGACTCCTCACATCGGCTCGCGACGCGGACGGAAAAATAGGGTTCGGAATGGTCATGGCGGTGGGGAGAGCGAGGAGGAAACGTTGCTATATTAAAAAGGAACCGAGATGTTTTCAAGTGAACGGCCAGATCGTCGCTGTTATGGCGAAAAATGTGTGCCTTAGCAACGAGATCGTGGAAGGTAAGGGGACATGGCGAGGAGTAGTCTCATGTCGAAGCTTTGAGGAGCGTATGGAATCGCGAACGCCGCCCTGAAAACGTGTCGAGGCTCAAACTCTCGCCTTGCTAGTTGGCCGTTTGAGATTCTGATTCCTTTACCTCACACTCAGAACGCCAAGCACCTTGCACTGTCACACACGGCTAGAAGACATGCCATAAAATGCGCTGGAACAGTGCAAAAGGTGATGGAACAGTGCTCAGAAAAAACTCCCCCCCAGCAAGTACAAATTTCGGCAGATGGATGGTGAGAAGAACGTCGCCTGCCTCGCACGGATCGTGTGCGTCGCCTTGGATTGGCGAGTGTGTCGCGAATTGTTCGCAACTCAACTGGACCATCACAACTGTGCCGCGAGTCACGTTCTCACAGTTACATCCGAGCTTCAAGCTGACAAGTGTACTGACATAATCTGGCAGGTTGGACTGCTAACAAAATTAGGAAGGGAAAGTGCTTGGACATAGAACTGAATAATGAAGGACCACAGAAACAACTTTTTTTATGTTTAATTCTACCACATGAATTACTCAACCTTCCAAGTATTGAATCAAGCAGATTAGCAGATGCGAGGATGCGTGCACAACGGAGACACGTGGATGGATCCATTCTGGAAGCGGACACGGCACTGAGGGCATTCAGCGTGGCGAGGGAGTGTACATGCCGTTGCCTCTTGTGGACTCCAATCTGGGCAACACACAGAGGCACACAAGAGGAATGGCAGGCGAGCAGCACACGTGGCAAGTGAGAGGATGTCATGTGAGCCAATCTAATCCAAGGGGCCCAATCAGGTCACGGACTCATGTTGTGTGCGGCACGGGCAATGAAGTAAGCTAGGGCATGTAGACAAGCAGGCATGTGGGCATGCGAGCATGTCGGACGTGGGCACGTGAGCATGCGGGCATGTGGGCATGCAGCATGCTGGTGACTGATGCATCACTGTGATAAGTTCAAATGACGGGCCGGCAAGGGAGAGATGGGCACAGGCAGCAGAGAGGGCAACAACAGCAGCCAGGTCAGACGAAGGCAGTGGGTCAGGGAGAGCAGGGAAGGAGGGACAGCAAAGCAGCAGGTGGGGGGGCGCAGGAGAGAGGCAGGGCAGAGGAGGGGGAAGGGCAGAGGGGGGCATACAAGGGTGCAGGGGCAAATATATGAGGGGGTGAGGCTCGAGTTTATACGTTATAGCATGCTAGGCTAATGTTACTGTATAATTCGTCGTGTAGTGTTAAGTTGAACATGTATCCTTTTTTGGTTATACATGTATGTTGGCATGATGAAACTAGTTGTGATTGACAAGTAAACCATCTTTGCCCCTCTATTGTGATAGGTTCTTCCGACCACATGTTGGGACCAATGGTAGTTGCCACTCCCAACCACCTCTTAGCCCTCAACCGCCTCTTTCCCATCCAGCTTTTCTATTTCTCCTCATGCATCCGTTTGTTGCATCACACCACTCGTGCTGGTACCAACGCACTCCCTTCATCGCTCCTCCCGAGGTATCATTCTCCTCTGCTCCCTCTTCCTCCTCGTCTCCCACCGTTGTTTTTTCTCGCCTCCTTGATTTCGGTGCATGTGCCAACACTGAAATTCGCTCATTGAACGTCTCTAGGGCACAAGCGAATCTTCACACAGCGACCATTTCATCTCATGCAACCTTCTCTTCCAAGACGGCGTGACAGCTTCGCCACCTGGTATAAAGCTTGAAGTATGTGAGAAGCTTCACTGCTTCTCACTCTGACAACAACATGCTCATTCGCTCCTCGGCTCGTCGTTTCTTCATTCTTGCTTATATTCAACCAACCTGTCCGCCAACCCCGCTCCATGACTTCACTCCGGCGAGACTTCGCCTCGCCCCCCACCTTGCGCTCACGAATCTGTCAGTTGTGCGATCATCATTGTCGTTTCTGATCACACTCTGCCTCGACGCCGACAAAACAGTCACTGCATGAGTGCTGCAAGGACGTAGGTGAGCTCTAAAACCACATGGGTGTCCCTACTGGTGACCATGCTGCCCGCATCATCACCTTCTCCCACTCATTTCATATCCACCACGGCTTGGAGCCGCTCGAAATTACCAAAGCCTAGCTGTTGGCCCTCCCTCCCCCTCTAATCAGCAGCTCATCGCACCCTCCTCCCTCCCGTGTGCTGAGCTAGTCGGCTTGTTGCTGTACGCCATAATGTGCACCTTCCCCACCTCAGCATTCTCGTTCTAGTTGGTTGGTCTCGACATGTTCATACGAGGTGATAATATGAGGTGGCCATACGAGGTGATAATATGAGGTGGCCATACGAACGAGGGAGCAAGGAGGGAGGGGGGCACACGAGGGAGCAAGGAGGGAGAGGGGCACACGAGGGAGCAAGGGGGGAGGCATACAACAGAGCAGGCAGGGGCATAGGACAGAGCCAGCAGGGGCATAGGAGGCAGCAGGAAGAGGCATACGAGGGGGCGAGGTGGCCAAGGTGGGAGACGAGGGCGGAGGAGGCGGCATCACGAAGCTGCCCCGAGGCGTCCAGAGTGTACTGCCGCTGCGCTGCCCCCGGCATGCCCCGCCGTGTGAGTGGCGCCAGGTCCCGCTGGCACAGCTCGCGCCCGTTCACCAGCACGCGCGTGCGCCCCCCTGCACAGTCCCGCCTCATTGGCTCCCTCAGCTGCGGTATGTTCGCCTGGGGGCGGAGGGGTGCGGGTGAAGGGGCAATGGGATTGGCGGGGTGAATGGGGGAAAGGGGGAGAAAAAGGGGAGGGGGAGACAAGGGTGGTGAAGAAGAGGGAAGGGAAGGGAAGATGAGAGTTAAATGTGAGAATCCCATAGTTGGGATGAGAGGTGAACACAAGAGTTTATTTGATTAGAAAGATCGTGGGTACATATATAGGTTGGGTACCCGCAACATTATTGGTGAGCCAATGGGAGTGGCCACCAATAATGTTTTGGAGGTGGCTGCCGATTATTGGGGAGCCTGGTTCCCCCCGCCAATTGTGGCAGAGTGGGGTTGGGACGTGCCCAACCAAAACTGGTTGGGGCGCCTTGGCCCAAAGTGTACACCCATGTTTGGGTGTTACACTTGCACATCTACAACCCAACTGATGCTATAATCTAACACAACCCCTTAGCAGAAGAAGGGTTTAAATGTGCACAACCCCTGAATTTTCAAGCCGGGAGGGGGGCTGCTGCAGGTGAGGAGGCAAGCCAGCCCAAGGTGCTGCGGCTCCCTCTGAGTTTCTCACAGGCTACTACACCCCCTCGTTCTCTAGGAACTTGGTGAGTGTCAGTCACCTCCACGACCTCGGAGTTGTCACCACTTTCCCTTTAGACGAGCCTGTTGCCTCCTGCACTGTCGGTGCCACTGGAGTGCCACTGGCCACTTTCCACAGGGAGCCGGGCTCTGGTCTGTACTCACTACACACTGGGTCCCACCACACTAGGTCAGGTCAGGTCAGGTCAGATAGCTGCTGTGTCGTGCGACTGTCGGTCACTCACGCACCCGTCGGTCCTTTGGCACCACCGTCTAGGTCATCCGCCGTTCCCACGTCTCAGTAGGATGGTACGTCACCGTCTGGTCTCAGGTCTCCCAGAGTCGCTTGCCCCGCTTCCTCGCTCGCCTGCGCCGCCGTTCACTCCTTGCGTCGAGGGTCGGCAGCGCGCTGCCCCTCACTCCTCGTCGTACTCCCCCCACCACGGCTCCCTTCCAGACTCTGCACTTGGACGTCTGGGGCCCCTCCCCGGTCCGTGGCCCACGTCAGGAGCGCTACTTCCTGATTGTGGTGGACGACTACTCCCGCTACACCACGGTTTTACCTTTGCGACGGAAGGCCGACGTGCCTATCGTCCTCGAGCCGTGGCTACTAGCGAGGGGTGACGCCTAGGCCCTTTGTGGGCTCCGCCTGCACTCAGACCGTGGTGGTGAGTTCTCTTCCACTCGCCTGGAGACGTTTTGTCAGGGTCGGGGGATCATCCAGTCTTACACGCTAACAGACTCGCCGCAACAGAACGGGGTAGCCGAGCAACGCATCGGCGGTGAGAGGGGAGGAGGGCTGAAGTGTCCCGAGGAGGAGGAAGCGAGGGGAGAGGAGGGCTGGAATGTCCGGAGGAGGAGGAAGCGAGGAGGGAGGAGGGCTGGAATGCCCGGAGGAGGAGGAAGCGAGGGGGAGGGGGCTGGAATGCCCTGAGGAGGATGAAGCGAGGAGGGAGGAGGGCTGGAATGCCCTGAGGAGGAGGAAGCGAGGGGGGAGGAGGGCTGGAATGCCCCGAGGAGGAGGAAGCGAGGGGGGAGGAGGGCTGGAATGCCCTGAGGAGGAGGAAGCGAGGGGGGAGGAGGGCTGGAATGCCCTGACGAGGCGGAAGCGAGGGGGGAGGAGGGCTGGAATGCCCTGACGAGGCGGAAGCGAGGGGGGAGGAGGGCTGGAATGCCCTGAGGAGGAGGAAGCGAGGGGGGAGGAGGGCTGGAATGCCCTGAGGAGGAGGAAGCGAGGGGGGAGGAGGGCTGGAATGCCCTGAGGAGGAGGAAGCGAGGGGGAGGAGGGCTGGAATGCCCTGAGGAGGAGGAAGCGAGGGGGGAGGAGGGCTGGAATGCCTTGAGGAGGAGGAAGCGAGGGGGGAGGACGGCTGGAATGCCCTGACAAGGAGGAAGCGAGGGGGGGAGGAGGGCTGGAATGCCCTGACGAGGCGGAAGTGAGGGGGGAGGAGGGCTGGAATGCCCTGAGGAGGAGGAAGCGAAGGGGGAGGAGGGCTGGAATGCCCTGAGGAGGTGGAAGCGAGGGGGGAGGAGGGCTGGAATGCCCTGACGAGGCGGAAGCGAGGGGGGAGGAGGGCTGGAATGCCCTGACGAGGCGGAAGCGAGGGGGGAGGAGGGCTGGAATGCCCTGAGGAGGATGAAGCGAGGGGGGAGGAGGGCTGGAATGCCCTGAGGAGGAGGAAGCGAGGGGGGAGGAGGGCTGGAATGCCCTGACGAGGCGGAAGCGAGGGGGGAGGAGGGCTGGAATGCCCTGAGGAGGAGGAAGCGAGGGGGGAGGAGGGCTGGAATGCCCTGAGGAGGAGGAAGCGAGGGGGGAGGAGGGCTGGAATGCCCTGAGGAGGATGAAGCGAGGGGGAGGAGGGCTGGAATACCCTGAGGAGGAGGAAGCGAGGGGGGAGGAGGGCTGGAATGCCCTGAGGAGGATGAAGCGAGGGGGAGGAGGGCTGGAATACCCTGAGGAGGAGGAAGCGAGGGGGGAGGAGGGCTGGAATGCCCTGACGAGGAGGAAGCGAGGGGGGGAGGAGGGCTGGAATGCCCTGACGAGGCGGAAGCGAGGGGGGAGGAGGGCTGAAATGCCCTGAGGAGGAGGAAGCGAGGGGGGAGGAGGGCTGGAATGCCCTGAGGAGGACGAAGCGAGGGGGGAGGAGGGCTGGAATGCCCTGACGAGGCGGAAGCGAGGGGGGAGGAGGGCTGGAATGCCCTGAGGAGGAGGAAGCGAGGGGGGAGGAGGGCTGGAATGCCCTGAGGAGGCGGAAGCGAGGGGGGAGGAGGGCTGGAATGCCCTGAGGAGGCAGAAGCGAGGGGGGAGGAGGGCTGGAATGCCCTGAGGAGGAGGAGGCGAGGGGAGAGGAGAGGGCTGCAAGGCCCTCAGGAGGAGAAGGCGAGGGGAGAGGAGAGGGCTGGATGGCCCTGAGGAGGAGCAGCAAGGGGAGAGGAGGCTAAAAGGCTTCAAGGAGGACGTACAGAGGGAAAAGGGGGCGGAAGCGTGTTGAAGAGAGGGTGAAGGTGTGGAGGAACGCTGTGAGGAGCGGTGTGGTGGGCGAAATGCCCTCGGGAGCAAGACTGACGGGCGAAATGCCCTCGGGAGCGAAACTGACGGTCGAAATGCCCTCGGGAGCGAGATTGATGGGCGAAATGCCCTCGGGAGCGAAACTGACGGGCGAAATGCCCTCGGGAGCGAGATTGATGGGCGAAATGCCCTCGGGAGCGAAACTGACGGGCGAAATGCCCTCGGGAGCGAGATTGATGGGCGAAATGCCCTCGGGAGCGAGACTGACGGGCGAAATGCCCTCGGGAGCGAAACTGACGGGCGAAATGCCCTCGGGAGCGAGATTGATGGGCGAAATGCCCTCGGGAGCGAAACTGACGGGCGAAATGCCCTCGGGAGCGAGATTGACAGTCGACGCATTCGTCCCGCAGGTCAGCGCGTTCCTCCCGCAGGTCCGCGCATTCGTCCCGCAGGTCAGCGCGTTCGTCCCGCAGGTCAGCGCGTTCGTCCCGCAGGTCAGCGCGTTCTTCCCGCAGGTCAGCGCGTTCGTCCCGCAGGTCAGCGCGGACGTCCTGCTGGTCGGCGCGGATAAGTGCCGCAAACGCCGCGAAGGAAAGCCTGAGGAAGGGGAGAAGGCTTGTGGTGCAAAGACCATGAAGGTGGCACGGGGCCGAGGATCTTCTAGGACAGCACGGTGGCTGGAGGTTCCTAGGGAGGGGGAAGGTGGCGTTAGCCAAAACAGCTCTGATACCATGTGAGAATCCCATAGTTGGGATGAGAGGTGAACTCAAGAGTTGATTTGATTAGAAAGATCGTGGGTACATATAAGCGATGAGAAGTGGGGGACCTAGGTTGAGTACCCGCAACATTATTGGTGAGCCAATGGGAGTGGCCACCAATAATGTTTTGGAGGTGTCTGTCGATTATTGGGGAGCCTGGTCCCCCCCGCCATTTGTGGCAGAGTGGGGTTGGGACGTGCCCAACCAAAACTGGTTGGGGCGCCTTGGCCCAAAGTGTACACCCATGTTTGGGTGTTACACTTGCACATTTACAACCCAACTGATGCTATAATCTAACATTAAAGGGTTGGAAGTGGAGGTGGCATGTGCGGTGGGAATAGGAAGGACGAGTATGAGAAGGTGTGACAGAATAGAACTAACTTGAGTAATGTAGGGAGGTGCAGAGGTGTGAAGAGGTGCAGGGAGGTGCAGAGGTGTGAGGAGGTGCAGGGAGGTGCAGAGGTGTGAGGAGGTGCAGGGAGGTGCAGGGAGGTGACAGGAGGTGCAGGAAGGTGCAGGGAGGTGCAGGGAGGTGCAGGGAGGTGCAAGGCGGAAATCACAGGCAGAATGCCGAGGCTGGGTCCACCCATGACTCCCCAGAAGCCAGCTCGCATGTCGTACCTGCGGAGGGGTGCAGGGGAGTAGAGCAGGACAAGTGGGGCAAGCTGAGCGAGCAAGCACGGTACACGGACTTGTGTGTGACAAGAGAACAAGGGAGAGCGAGAGGGAGAGGACATGGGAAGAGGGAGGAGGGGGTGGGGCGATGGAACAAGGTAAAGGGAGTGAGAGAGAGCGAGGTTTGAGGAGGGTTGGGAAGGCGGAGGAGAAGGAGGTGTGGGAGAGAGGGGGAGGGGGGAGGAGGGGGGAGGAGGGGGGCACCAGTAGTGGCCGGGATCGATGGGTCCCGCCAGCAGCTCTGCCTGCTGCACGTCTGCATCGCTGATGGCAGCCCCGTTCACCACCACTCTCCGCTCATACGTCTCGCCCTCCCTCGCCCCGCCCCGCTCCCCCGCCCACTCGCTGCCGCTGTCACCACTCCACTGCACACTTCCCCCTCCCCCACTCCACTCCGTGCTCGCCCCCCCACTCCACTCGCTCCCATTGCTTTCCCCCACCCACCCCTCCCCCTCCCCCTCTGTCTCCTGCCCCTCTCCACCCGTCTGCCCCTCCCACCCTTCCGCCCCACACCCTGCCCCACCCCACTCGCCCTCGTCCCCCCTGCCACTCACACGCCCCCCCACATCCCCAGCCCCATCCCCCTCCTCTCTGTCTCCCTCCTGCCCACCACTGCTCATACCTCCCCGCAGCCGCCCCTCTCCTCCTCCCCCCGCCCCCACCACGCCATTGAGCGCCCTGCCTGCCCCCCGCGCCCCTGAGTGCCCCTTGAGGGGCGAGGGGGCGGGGTTGCCTCGTGCGCGGGCGAGGCGGGGCGAGGGCACGCTGAGGGGCGACAGGTCTCGTGTCACATCCCCCCGCCTGCTTCCCACGCCCTGCCCGTGCCCATGCCAGCCCCCCCCCGCCCCCCTCGACCCACTCTCCTGGCTCGTGCTCCTCGGCACGCCCTGAGGGGACTGGGGGGCCGCCCTGGGCGTGGCATTGGGGGAACCGGGGTGGCCGTGGGGGCTGGACGGGATTGCGAGGGGGAGGCGCGCGAGGGGGGAGGAGAGGGAGCGGTAGGGGGAGGCGAGGGGGTGGCGGGGGGATGGGCTGAGGGACGCTGACGGTGAGGAGGGGGGGTGGGCGGGGGCGAAGGGCGGCTGGTAGGGTTGAGAGTGCGAGGGGAGGGGCGGGGCGGCGAAGGTGGAGATCTGCTGGCAGCCGCCGCACCGCAGCTTCTGCACGCCTCCCTGCTTGCGCCGCCGCGGCATGGGCGGCACGGCGAGGGCTTGAGCGCAGTGCGGACACTGATTGGGGCGGAGGGGGAGGCGGAGGGGGAGGCGGAGGGGGAGGCGGAGGGGAGGGGACGGATGGAGGCCTATTCAAAAGATGAGGTGCCCTAGAGGTACTCTGTAGAAGCGGGGTGGGCGGAAGAGGCGGAGGCGAAAGGGCAAGATGAGGTGCTCTGCTCTTAGGAGAGTATGAGTAGATAAGGGTTGCAGGTGGAGCAGAGGGAGTGGGGGGGGCTAGGGGGTCGTGACGGAAATAATACGATTATAGAGCGAGATATGGAACTATGTGTGTGGCCATACCTGCACGACTTGAGGGGCGTCAGGCGGCGGCAGGCATGGCAAGTCACCACTCACTGCTCCACCGCCCTCCCTTGCCTCCTTCACCACCTCCCCCTCACTTTCCTCAACTCCCCCCACCTCGCCGTCTGCCCCTGCATCTCCCATGCTCCCTGCCTGCCTCACAGCACCACTACCCTCCACCTCTCCACCTCGGCTGCCCTCCCCTCCACCCTGCACGCCACTACCCACAGCACCGCCTTCACTAGAAGCCCTTTCAGCAGCAACAGTGGCGGCGTCTCTCGCCGCCTTGCCTCTCAGGCCCGATTTGCGCCTCTCCAGCACGCTGCCCGCCCCTCTACCCGCGCCCATGCCCCGCCCACCATGCCACTCAGGCAGCAGGCGCGGGCTCTGCAGGGCGTCAGCGAAGCGCGACCGCGGGGTGGCGGGCATGGCAGGGGCGGGTTGCGCTCCACTGCTGCCACCTGCTGTTGCAGCAGCAGCAGCAGCCTGGGAAGCGGCCTGGGCAGCAACGGCAGCCTGGGCAGCGCGTTTCATCTCCATGTACTGCCGCCGCGTCACCTTCACCTTCGCTGGCCCCTCCTCCCCCTCTGCCTCCGCCCCCGCCCCTCCACCCTCCCTGCTCTCTCCATTCGGCACACTCTCACCACCTGGTGGGCTGCCATCAGCTGCTCCTGCTTGAATGCCCTCGCCTCTCTCCGATTCCTCACGCCCCGTTGCTGCTCCATCCTCCGCCCGGCCACTGCCCCTCGCCTCTTCCGCCCCTGCATCCCCAACCGTCGCTGCATCGCGTGCCACTGATGCCATGCGTGCAGCCTGCAGGGCTGCTGCCCCCCGCATGGGTGACCCCGGAGCGCTGCCCGTGGCTTGAGTGCCCACCATGCCCGCCCCGCCTCGCACTTCCCTCGCACTCTGAAAGCTGCGAGCTATGTGGCGACTGGAGGACACTGCAGGGGAGAGCGGCGAACGGGAGATCGGCGAGGGGGACAGTGGTGAGGGGGAGAGTGGCGCACCTGCTGCTGTATCCACTTGCTCACCTGCTGCTGTATCCACTTGCTCACCCTCTCCTGGACACACACCCCCTTCGCTCTCGTCCCCCTCGGCACCATTACACCCCGCCCCGTTTTCCCCTCCTGCGCCGCCTGCCCCAGCAGCCAGGCGGCGGGGAACGGAGAGCGAGCGGTGGAAGGAGGAGGAGCGGGGCGAGCGCGTGGAGGGGGCCAGCACAGCGGGCGAGAAGTGGAAAGCCATGGACGCATGCCGCGTTGGGGCCCTGCCGCTGCCACTGCCGCTCTCATCATCACATGTGGCTCCCTCAGGACTCCCGCCCGTGCCACTGCCCATGCGTCCACTCGTGTGCGATCGGAACGGCCCCGCTGCCTCACTGTCCGCCACGCCCCCCTCCTCGCCCGCCTGCATGCCCCCTCGCCCCATCCCACCCGTGGGGGAGCGCCGCGAGTCAGTGCTGCTGCGCTGCATGGGAGGCCCGTTGCTGTTGTTGCTCATGCTGCTGCGCGGGGAGGCACCCGGCTTCGCCTCCCACAGCGACTTGAGTTTTGACCCGATGTTGATGTTCATGTTCATGTTGCGCCGCTCCCTACCCCGAGCGCCCTCCCTCCCCTCCCTCCCCTCCTTGGCCTTCTCGTCGCCCTCGCCTGCTGACGTGGCAGGCAAGCTGCCCTGGCGGTCCAGGTCAGCAGGCTGGTCCCAGTCATTCCCCCCCGCCCCTCTCAGCCCCTGGGGTTCAACCTCCCCACCGCGACCGTCGCCTTGAGAGGCAGCGGAGCAGCGGGGCGGGGCGGTGTACTGGCGAGTGAACGCCTCCGCCATGCCGCCCTCCTCGCCCTCACTGCTCTCTCCCTCGCCCTCCCCCGCGCCCCCTTGCCCCGCCCCCACGGCCGACCCCGCACTGGCCAGCTGTGCTGCGCTGCCCTCCCCCTCGCGCTGAGCGGCGGGCGAGGCGTGGCGGGAGAAGAGGCGGCGCAGCGACATAGACGGGGCCAATGCGCCTGATGCTGCTGCTGCTGATGCTGATGCTGATGCTGGTGGTGGTGACACTCCCCCGCCGCCGCCGCCGCTGCTGCTGCTGCCGAACCCACCCAACCCCAACCCCATGCCCATGCTCGCATTCATGCTCGCACTCATACTCAGTCTCCTCCCACTGCCTCCCCTCCCCCCCTCCCCATCCATGCTCCCCCTGCTGCCCTGCCGCCCGCCCCTGCTGTTGCCATACCCGCCATCCATGCTCTGGGTGCATGCCACTCCCCCGTCCATGTCCCCCCCCATGCTTCCGCCCATGCTCCCCCCCATGCTTCCCCCCATATCCCCCTCCGACCATGCTGCATCTATCTCCGCCCACCCCTTCGGCCACACCACCGCCCCCCCTTCTTCCGCCTCCTCCCCCTCCTCCCCCCTTTCCTCCCTTTCCCTCTCGCCGCTCCCCTCCCCCTGCGCCCACCTCCCGCTCCCCCCTGCCCCCGCCCACATGCCAGAACCCAGCGCCCTCCGCCTCGCCGCGCCTGCTCGGGCGGAGGAGCGCGGGGAGGGCGTCTGGAGGGGGCTGGCGTGGCGGGGCAGGCGGGGGGGGAGGGTGGACTGGCGGCCAAAGGCGGCGGAGGGGTTAGGGGGGCTGCTGCCTGTTGTCACTGGCGCACCCCCCTCGCCCCCCTCGCCCTGCCCCCACTCCCCACTGCCCTCCTCCTCCCGCCCGCCAGCCTGCGCCCATGCCTGCGCCCCTCCGCCACTGAGCTCCTCCCCCCCGCCCCTGCGGTAAGGCGTGTCCGCCTGACCACCGAATCCGCCCTCCCCTGGCTCCGCCCCTCCGCCCTTTCCCTCCCCCGCCCATGCCCCTGCGCCTGCCTCCCCAGGCTCTTCCTCCTCCGCGCCCTCGTCCCCCCACTCCGCCATCTCGTGCCCAAACAGCGTTGCCCGCGCGCCCGCCCCGCCGCGCCCAGCAAAGGAGGCGGAGAGGGCGCGCGGGCGGAAGGACAGGGATGAGGGGTCGGCGGAAAGGGAGGTGCGCGGGGAAGAGGAGGCCGCGGGCGCGCGGGGAGAGGAGGAGGCGGGAGTATGCTGGAGCGCGGAGGAGGAGGCGCCCTGCGAGAGCGACTTGGAGATCTGCGGGGGTCGCGGAGGGGTGGCGTGTGGCGACGCGAAGAGAGACGGCGGAGGGCGGTCTGCGCTGTGGTTGCGCGGAACGGGGGGCCCGCGCGAGTGGGGGGGCGGGAGGGGGGAGAAGGAGGCGGACGATCGCCCTCCGACGTCAATGCCGACGGGGTGGCGCGGCACTCCCCCGTACACCGCATGGCGCGCTGCGCGCACGAGATGGGGGCAATGGGTGCGGAGCAACGGGGGAGGCGAAACGGGTGAGGGGAAACGGGTGAGGGGAAACGGGTGAGGGGAAACGGGTGAGGGGGCGGGACGAAGGTGGGGAGGGTAAGGACGCATAGGGCACGAGAGAGAAAGAACGAGGGCCTATCGAGAGAATGAATCATTCGAGCTTAACAGCAGCCCGGGAGAGCGCGCTGCGGTGGGGAGCGCGGTGGGGGCGCGTTACCCTGCAGGACGGTCATGCAGCTGCCGCACTTGTAGAACGGGTTGCCGGGCGGCGGCTCCTGCAGCACGGCGCGGCAGCGCGGGCACTGCACCATGCGCGCCATGCCGCCCCACCGCGCGCGCTGCGCGAGAGGTAAGGGGAAAACGGAGCCGCGGAAAAAATCGTAATGACGAGATGATGGTGTCGAGGCTAGCGGAGAGGCGAGCGGCGAGAGGGGAGAGCACGGGGAAGCGGTGAATGCGGCGGGGGAGGAGCCGCATGTAGCACGACTGGATTGTGATGTGAGTCGCACAGTCGGAACTAGGTTGCTGCTCCGCCACCACAGGTCGGCGGTGGTTGTGCTTTGAGCATTGCTGTCAGGCTGTCAGCGCTAGGGGGGATGAGGGTGTGGACTGGGGTGATTCTCCCGGCACTGTGCGAGCGAGGCCGTACCTTCACTGATGATCGTTCGACCGTGAACGTGGAAACCCTCTTCGCCACTGTCATGATGCGTTAGCGGGGAGCCAAAACCTACATCTTGTCAGCTTGAGGAATTTTAACTTGCGGTCCATATTTGTAATCACAACATTTGCTGAATATATCAACCAAATTTTTCTTCAATGATTTAGAAACACATCAGCTCAGCCTCTAAATGTGTTTTTTTTAATAACTCCAATGATTACGTACATGGACCTGGTGAAACTACTTAATTCCCCGCATAGTGCACCTCCCATGGTTGAACGTGTTGAAACTAGGCAAGAAGGAATGGAAGAAGAGGCTTTGCACTAGCAGGCAGGTGGAGTACATATAAGAAACCCTAAAAGGGTTGTACTCTCTGTTGAGTACCCCACTACAGCCTACACAGCAAATAACATTTTGACACACCCCCATAGGCGAAGTGGGGGATAGCCAACACAACAAGCAGTCGCAGGACCAGTTCACAAGCAAAGCCTAGTGGTAGAAACAGAGGGCAAGTGAGGAGGAGGGACCAGGAGAGGAGAGGAGGAGGTGGGCGGCCGCTGAAGCTGCTGGCACACGGCGCAAACTGAAGCAACTGGCGCACGAACAACTGGTGCAACTGGCACACAGGCAACTGGAGTAACTGGCTCTGCTCGCCGGCAAGAGCAACTAACCCACGGGCGACTAGAGCAACTGGCAGACAGGCCCCTGGCGCAACGGTCTCACGGGCGACTGGAGCTGCGGAATTCACGACGGCCACCCGCCGTCAACCTCCTCGCATTGTCCCAAACCCCCTTTCACACCCCTCGGCATCCCTAGCGCCACTCCCCCGTCTCCCCCACACCCTCCCCCCCTTCAGCGGCAGCTGCAGCAGTGGGAGAGAGAGGAGGAGGAGCGCAGCTGATCACTCACGCCCGCCACCCCCATACCCTCCCCCCCACGGCTGCACGCGCAGCAGGGAGATGAAGGAGAAGTGGGGGGGCGGGGGGGCGGGGTAGGAGCTGCCCCGCGGCTGCAGGGGCAGGCGCGCGGGCTGCAGAGGCGGCTCACGGGCTGCAGGGGCAGCGCACAGGCTGCAGGGGCGGCCCGCGGGCTGCAGGGGCAGTGCGCGGGCTGCAAAGGGCAGGCGCGCGGGCTGCAGAGGCGGCTCGCGGGCTGCAGGGGCGGATCGCAGGCTGCAGGGTAGTGCACGGGCTTAAAACCGCCGCACGCTCGGGGCGCGCGTCGGGCAGGAAACCGACGCGCGCCCGAGGCGTGCGACGGGCAGGATCCGTCGCGCGCCATTCTGTCGCGCGCCCGGGGCGCGTGACGTGCAGGAATCCACCGCGCGCCCAGGGCGCGCGACGGGCAGGAAATCGTCGCGAGCCCAGAGCGCGCGGCGGGCAGAAAACAGTTGCGCGCCCGGGGCGTGCGGCGGGCAGAAAACGTCGCGCGCCCGGAGCGCGCGACTGGCAGGAAGTCAGCGGAAGCGATTGGTGGGCCCAACAGGATCGACCAAGGAGGGTCGACCTGCTCTGATAGCATGTTGAAACTAGGCAAGAAGAAGGAATGGAAGAAGAGGGTTTGCACTAGCAGGCAGGTGGAGTACATTTAGGAAACCCTAAAAGGGTTGTACTCTTTGTTGAGTACCCCACTACAGCCTACACAGCAAATAACATTTTGACAGAACGCCCATGTGCACTCAATTATCGTGGGTGTTATGTAAAATTCACCAGTTACAACACTGTCAGAATGTTATCTTATGCTCTAGCCTGTAGTGGGGTGCTCTATAGCGAGTACAACCCTTCTAGGGTTTCCTATTTGTATCCCCATTCTTGCTAGTGCAATCCTCTTCTTCTCTCTTCTCTCTTTTAAACTTTAACATGCTATCAGAGCAGGTCGATCCCCTTGGATCGATCCTGTGGGTGGGCTCACCACCTTGTTGCTTCCGCTGCAACTGCTACTGCTACTCTCTGTGCCGCACGCTTCGTGGCGTGCGGCAGTTTTTCTTCCCGCCGTGCGCCCCGAGGCGCGCGGCGGTTTTCTGCCCGCCGTGCGCCCCGAGGCGCGCGGCGGTTTTCTGCCCGCCGTGCGCCCCGAGGCGCGCGGCGGTTTCCTGCCCGCCGCGCGCCCCGAGGCGCGCGGCGGGTCGCGCGACCCCTACAGCCCCGTCGCGCCGCCCAGGGGAGCCGCGCGCGACCCCTGCAGCCCCGTCGCGCCGCCCAGGGGAGCCGCGCGCGGCCCCTGCAGCCCCGTCGCGCCGCCCAGGGGAGCCGCGCGCGGCCCCTGCAGCCCCGTCGCGCCGCCCAGGGGAGCCGCGCGCGGCCCCTGCTGCCCCGTCGCGCGGCCCTGCTGCCCCGTCGCGCTGCCCAGGGGAGCCGTGCGCGGCCCCTGCTGCCCCGCCCCGTCCCCGACCTGCCCCGGCCCCGACCTGCCCCGGCCCAACTCCCGTCGCCCGTCGCGGCGCCCTGGGGGGGGCCGCAAGCGGCCCCCCCCAGGGTCGCCTCGACAGGCGACGGGAGGGGAGTCTACCGGGGGCCGCGCGTTCCCCCCCCCCCCCCCCCCTACCTCCCTACCCTGTTTTTAGGGTTTGGGGGGTAGTGGTTGGGGGGTGGCGGTTGGGGGGTGGCGGTTGGGGGGTGGCAGGTGTGTGGCGTCGCCTGCTCCTCCTCCTCCTCCGTCTCCCTGTGCTGCAGCTGCCGCTGAGGGGGGGTGGACGTGTTGGAGCCGGTGGAGTGGTACTAAGGGGGGGTGAAGGGGGAGTGGAGCTAGCGGTGTAGCAGCGGGTGTGTGCCAGGGGGGAGTGGGATAGTTTGGGGAAGCTGAATGGAGGTTGCCGTCGTGTCGCCAGCAGCACCTGTATTCCGGGGACTTCGTCCGGTAGCCCAGTCGTAGCCAGCTGTGCCAGCCGCCCGTGGGTCCGTTGCTCGTCTGCCGCTACTTTAGCCGCGGGGCCTGTTACTCCTGTATTCCGGGGACTTCGTCCGGTAGCCGCTGTGCCAGTCTGCCTCCTGTTGCCCGTGTGTCTGCAGCTTCAGCCGTCGCCCCCTATCTCCTCTCCTCTCACTCTCTCTCCTCCTCCTCACTTGCCCGTTGTGACTACCACTAGCTTTGCTCATAATTGTGAACTTAAACTATTGCTTCTTGAACTTGTGCTCAGAATGTGTGGTGACATTGTGATCCACCCTGAGCTTGTACTCCTTTGCTTCCTCTGCTGATTACACCCCACTTTGGCTATGGGGGTGTGTCAGAATGTTATCTTATGCTCTAGCCTGTAGTGGGGTGCTCTATAGCGAGTACAACCCTTCTAGGGTTTCCTATTTGTATCCCCATTCTTGCTAGTGCAATCCTCTTCTCTCTTCTCTCTTTTAAACTTTAACAAACACCCTCCAAACATCTTGATCTTTTTATAACCCATCCCTCAACACTCGTGAGTCCGGCGCTATGGACGTCCACCTTTGGTCCGTCCTCATGTGAGCAAGAGCGAGGTCATCCTCACTCCCATTCAAGCCCTCACATTAGTTTTAGGGTGCGGTGATCTAGAAAATTCAGAGTTGGTATGAAGCTGTATGGTATGCTGATATTTACCATTTTACATTAGAAAAAAGATGTTTTTGATAAGGCTAATGTCAAACTAGGTTTCCTACGTGTACTCACAACCCTAATCAATCCAACATCACTTCTTGACATGGTTTCAGAGTAGGTCTCGGTTAGGACCGATTTTTTAGGGCCCACCGTTAGTTCCGCTCGTTCCTGCCCGTAGCGCCCTTGTGCTGTCCTGCCCTGCCCGAAAAGAGTCGCGCTGCCCTGCTGCCACACGCACTGCTTGCCCTAGCGCGCTGCCTGCTGCACGCGCTTCCTGCAAGCGCGCTGCCCGTGCTCGTTGCGCGCCCTGCCTGCACGCTGCGCCCGCTGCTCGCGCGCTGCCCTTGCTGCTCGTGCGCTGCATTTGCTGGCCGCGCGCTGCTCACCCTGCCCGCGCGTTGCTGCGCCTGAGCTGCTGTTGCCGCAGGCTCTGCTGCGCTGTGCCCTGCCAACCGCGCTGCCACGCGCTACTGCTGCTGCTGCGTACGCTGCTGCTACTGCGCAGCTGCAGCCCACCGTGCTGCTGCTGCTGCGCTGCTGTGCCTGAGCTGCTGCTGCGCCTGAGCTGCTGCTGCCGCTCGCGCTGTGCTACTGCTACTGCTGCGCCTGAGGTGCTGCTGCTGGACGCGCTGCTGCGCTGTGCCCTGCCGAGCCACGCAGCACCGCGCCGCCCTGCCCGAACCACGCCGCCCTGCCTGAACCACGCTGCCCTGCCCGAGCCGCGCTGCCCTGCCCCTACAGAGCTGCACTACCTTACTACTGCTGCTGCTGCTGCTGCTGCTCTGCTGCTGCTACTGCTGCTGCTGCTGCTGCTGCTGCTGCTGCTGCTGCTGCTGCTGCTGCTGCTGCTGCTGCTGCTGCTGCTGCTGCTGCTGCTGCTGCTGCTGCT